CTTTGTCGACGTTCATTCCTACGTGACGTCGAACGGTCACGGGACTTTTCTCGCGAGGCACTCCTCTCTTCGGAAAACGTAGAAAATAAATATAAATCTACCCATTTAAAAAGAATTAAAAAAAAAAAAAGAAACGACCGGAATAACTATAAAATATCGCAGGATTTAGTATCCACTTTGAATTTTCTTCCTCAACTCGTTCCACGTCAACTTGAAATGAAACGTGAACCCTTAGGCCAGTATCAACTTCCCAAGCGGCGGAGTTCATTTTCTTCCTTACTTATGTAGCAAATAACCTATTTGTGTTTCAAATGATGAACTAAAATTGACGCTGAATTTTTAAAGCGAATCATAGGAACGTAAAAAATTAAAAAAAAAAAATTGGGAGTCGTACTGACTTCCCTGACATGGAAAGAGTTAATGCCAAACGGTAAAAAAACGACAAATTGACGATAAACTGATAAATATTCTAACGTGATGTATAATCATAGATAATCCGGTTTTATCCCGCGTCATTGGTTATTCAGTTATGCCACTTCTGGTCGCGTTAATTACTCGTCCTACTTTGAAAAATTAATTCTGTCCCCTCATTGCATACACAGTATAAACTAAACTGGTAAGTAAGATACCAAAAAAATAGAACACAAAGTATCTCATATCCTGGAAAAACTTGTTCACGTAGATAAATCATGAGAACATAAGTTCAAGTTTCCGTCCACCGTTCGTCTGTATAAGTTCGCGTCCGCATTCCCCGACATAAAGGAAATAATTTGTGCGCAGTGAAAGGAACGAGTCTTAAATACAGACCGAATATCTGTAAAGTATACACAGTAATTTACCGACAAAACCAAACAAACGGAAGGCGTGATTACTTAACAAAGCAAACTAAACGCGTATTTGAAAAAGAAACTCAGAGAGCGATTAAAGCGCTCCAAAAATAAGAAGTCTGCTTTCGAGCGAAACTATCGATGAGCACATAATGACGCGTCCTCCCCGTACAAGAACGAATATACCCTGACTCTGGTCCTCTTTCCGTCGTTACGTGTTCCCGTCCGTCGAAGAGAAAGAATAAAAACGACAAAAGCTTCCAGACAGTGGCACCCCCGAGGACCAACGACTCCCCCTCGCGGGAAGCGCGGCCGATCCGAAGGCGTAGCGAGGAGTGCGCCCGCGCGTCGTCCCGCCCCGTAAATAGTCCGATCGCTAAATACAGAATCAGCCTTGTATCGTAAACCTTGTTTCCTACCTAACGCGGTCGGTCGTTCTTATAATAAGATACGTTCCCTACTTGAATCACAAGTTCACTAAATAATAAGGTGCGAGGGGGCGCGGCCAGGCGTGGCGCGCGCGCCCGGCGCAGCTATATATCACAAAACGATACTGGGCAAAGGTCGAGGTCGTCGAAAGTAAATCTAAACCTGTACATTAGTGGTAGGTGGCGTTATACTGTATCATGCCCCCCGCGAAGTGCTTCGAGTCCCCGAGCTGCGCCACCTCGAGGGAGTAGGCGCCGTCGCCAACCTGCGCCTGGTAGGGCCTGAAGTTCTTATGCTCCGGGGCCGCGGGGCCCTCGTTGCCGGCGGCGCCACCGGTCAGGCCACCAGTGGCGCCGCCCGCCGCGTCCCCGGCGAGGCCGCCGTTGGCACCGACGGTGGCGCCCCCGGCGGCCTCGTCGGCCCCCAGCCGCGTGGCCGGCGCGGCCGCGGCCAGGGCGGGCTTCCTCTCCCCCTGGGCCGCCATAGGCGGCTGCGCCTGCGCCTGGGCCTGCGCCTGAGGCTGAGCCTGCGCCTGAACCTTAACCTGCTGCTGGTAGATCTCCTCCTGTCGCTGACGGTCCGAGACGCTGAGCTCGTGGAAGCTGACGAGGTGGCGCTTCAGGTACAGCTTGGTCTTGAAGGGCTTGTTACATAGAGGGCATGTGACACTCTGAGGGTTGTGGATGAGGCGCATGTGCTGCCGCAGGTTCGACAAGTTACTGTACATGCGGTTGCACACAGGACAGGGGCGTGGGTCCAGCGAGTGCAGTTTACGCAGGTCAGCTGCAACACACACACAACTTGCTCTAACCGGTAGCAGCCCACAGCATAGCAACGTTACCACAGCATTAGCACCACACCTTCTCACACCGTACAATATCAAAACGATTTACCACCCACCACAGGACAGCAACAACCAGCAAACAGACCCTAGCTGCGCGCAATGCACTTTTAGTTCCTTAACGCGAACACGACGCGAGATAGCCCGAGGCTTCGGGGTTACCGTGGGAACTGAATTTTATACTGAATTTACTTGCTCTTTCCGTTCCCTTCCTTCTCTCTGGTTCGCCTGTCCGGCCATTATGAACGGACGTTTTGTTCGTTTGCTATCCACGCACGTAAGGGGGGTCAAGAATAAAAGATTTAATACCATTTAGAATTAATGTCGATTTTAAATAGTCATGGAATCAATACGCGTTCGTGATTAGAATCCATTCCCACGAATGCAATCGGAAAGTTGCACTTTATAGAAGATATATACTCTGTCAGCTGGGCTTCTCGTCTTGTACCCCAGATGACGGTACCACGTTTTAGTATATATTTGGTGTTATTCTCAAACGAGAGGAAGAATATGAAATAATAGATAATAATTCTCTTCTTTCGCTTTGTTAAAACCCGAGCTGTTATTTTCAAACATTTAGGGGATAATTACACTGCTATACCCTTCTAAACCCTCGCTATTGACAAGAGTTGGAGATTCCAAAGATCTTCATAGAGGCAGCAAACGAATAAAACTGACTTCTAGAATATACCGCACGATGCTGGCGATTATTTATTAAGGAAAAAACGTTTTCGGCACGGTAACCCCAAGGCATCGGGGACGTAACGCGACGTGGAGGGAGAAACGACGCGGTCCTTGACTTCGCCCTTACTCGGCTCTGGTACTTGAGAAGCTGAGATCTTCCTGACGACCTTCATGTTGTAGACGAGTGCCAAAGAAGAAATTAAAAAAAAAAAGGAAGAAAATATTTTCCATCTATACCGGAAACGAGTACACAAAGTATAGACGCGAGCACTCCATTTTCACCGGTAGAATCGAAACGCGGATGCCTCTTCCAAAGTCTCACTCGTTTGCCGATGAACGTGCTCGATTAAATTCAGGTTAACCACTTGAACGGCACTCGATCGTTTCTACAGAGTTCCCGAAAGCACTCTCGTCATATTTACTGCCGGTATTGTTCTTCTCCGTCGAGACAATTACGTTTCTTGAACTTACATTTCCACGGAACGTTAAACCTTTCGGCCCTGACGTCGTGAAAAACATCGATGAAGTTATCCTTAAATTAAATTTAAACAATATCGAGGAAGACCAATGTTGAGTCTATCACAATTGATTTACAAGACTCTCGTATTACTAATTCGGTACAAGGGAAACATTATGGAATGTAATTATGTATAAAGTAGAAATACAAGAACTCGTTATATGGACCCCAGGGCGGAATAAGTTACAAGGCTAACTTTTCGTTCTAGAAGTCTAATTTATTATTTGCGAGAAGACTTTCCTGTCCTGTCGTGGTTGCAGCGATAATCCTCAAGCTTTGCATAACCGCGCGAGTTTACTTTAATCTCGACGTTTTAACGGACTCTTTAGGTAAATTCATGTTTTGAGTAACGATGATTTACTTGTCGAAACGGGCTATGCCTTTAGTCCCTGCCAGAAATGGGGAGATATTATCAATTTAAAAAGGAAAAAAAATACAGTATTACCGAGATCGGTAAACAGTCTCAGTTTTCTACGGTTCCAACCAATTCCTAACTCTGAATGGTACGAATACCAAAGATATCCCAACGAGTATAAAATAATTATTACATAAAAATCAACGAGTGAAGTCTCCGCAGTACGTCTTGGAAATGCTTGTTTCAGACTACAGACTGGTCGACGGATAACTTTAAGACGTTTGCAAAGAAAAAAATACCCGAATATAAATCCAGAGAACGCCTTCCCTTAAAAGGGAAAACGGAAAACGGTATATACTTTGAGACGAACTTCAAAATAAATCAACGGCCGTCGATTCTCTGGTCACTGCTCGATTCATTGCTCGACCGCGGTGCCAATGACATTAAGCAAAGTATTTAAGCATTGTCCTGAAATCTGCCACCGATCGTTAGTTTTGTTCGCGATATGTTAAGCCAATCTCTATCGTATGAACATCTTGTTCCGTAATTTCACAGGTCGATGACTCGTTATGAATTAAAAAAGCAGTTTGCGCCAAGGATGCGCCGAGCACGTCAGCCCGTTAATTAGTAAGAAACAAATAAAGCAGATGATGAGGATGACCGTAGAGCCGCGTTCACGCCAGAGTAAAGTTTGTCACCGACATCGTTGGCGACGCGTGTCAAATAAGAGACTACAGGAACAACCGTCGACAAGCGTTGCCAACAATGCCCGCGACAAATGTTACCGTGGAGTGAACGCGGTTTAAGAGAACCACGAATCGTCAGTCCGACTCGTCATAATCTGAATTAAAGCGATTATTCATTAGCATGTTTATATGTACAAATCGTGGAAGGTTTAACGTAGCATCTTCGTGGGCGTATATATGTATATTTATGTACACTTAATGTATACATATATACAGAAGCATGAACACCGAAAGATGTACGAAGCGTCGAGGGATGGGATCCTTTTAGACAAAACTATGTACACACAGGACGTAGTTGTTAATGATTCCACGTGTATCTCCTCTATTTGGGTTACGTTGGTAACGTTCATACAACACAGCTGATTAGCTGCAAACTGCACTCTGCGGACTTGGGGCCCGAATCGCAGCCTCCGAGTGTCAAATGTCTCCTAACGCCTACCAAGACCTACCGAGCTACACACGAGCTTACCATTTCAAACCGTCAAGACTCCTTTCTCCTTCCTTCTGTCTACTCACATTGATACTTGTGATGTAACGGCTAGGTTGTTGCTGTTTGTAATGGTGCTCGCACTACCAAGAAGTTAATTAACTTTCGACTCACCTTGCTGCTCTTGATTCAGTTCGGTACTCCCGTGCGACGGGCCAGGCATTCCTCCCTCGATTCCGCTTCCTAAAAATCCACATATATTTAGTCATTCTGCCGACTGTATTTATCAATTATATCATACGTTATAACGATGCTACCGATTATTTAAAAAAGCTAAACGCAAGGAAAACCATTCCATCCACGTAGCACTTTCTCGCATCTTTATAACGTTATATAACACGCAAAGTGCTAACGCATATGAATGATATCGATTAATCTACTATTTATTAATTTCATGCTACCAAAACATACAAATGGAACAAGTTGCTCGAGCTATAGAAATGACAAATTAACGAAGACAGTTCTAAGTTAACTTTCTACATGTTGTAACCTCCTTTTCAAGTAAACAATGAACAATTATGTCAAAATTAAACAAATTAATTGCGAACCGAGTTACTCTTTCGACAAAGTGTTTCAAATTTAATATCCGTTTCACTACAGCTTCCAGCTTTAAGCAGTTTTTATCATTTCTTATGAGTCGATAAAATGCATAGTAATCAAGTCGAAGGAAATTCTGACCCTCAAACCTCTTCACACACGATCGAGACGCTCGTGTGTGAAGTCTCGATTTATTCATTTATAATTGCGTCTCGATCGTGTGTGAAGAGGTTTGAGGGTCAGAATTTCCTTCGACTTGATTACTATGCATTTTATTATATATATATATATATGTTCTTTCAATGATCTTTTCATCCGCATCTTGCTTATATTAATCCAGCAGAGGTGATATCCAATAATCATTATTCTCGTAAACGTAAGTATGTGTACAAGATATCTATATATTACAAGCATAAATTTAATCACCCGCCACAGTGTTAGCTCAAATTACACGATATGTCAACTTTTATTGATTAAAAAAGGAAGAATCATGATGCCCATTTCTCTTCAGTAATCTTAGGTATTTCTCGCCTTTCAAAGTTTATTTATTCACTGATAAATAAATATAAGAAAAAGGGATATTCACAGATTCTTGTAATCTTATTTGCAGGAACAAAACTACTACACGAATTCCTAATAATTGAAATATCCAAAAGTCTGTCGAACATTTTTCAATTTCACCAATACTTTTCAATCAACACGAAGATCGGTTTAGTCCAAAATGGCGGACCTTGTTTCTCTCACTGCCGAAAATATCCAATTTCAAAGCGACGTGCACTTTCAAGCGAGAAAGATCTAAGCTTCAAACATTAATAAGAACATATTTTAATTTCACTAATACTTTTCAACTTTTGGATAATTGCTTTGGCATGATACAAACAAAACAAGATTACCGTAAGAGAAACGGAAACTATCAGACCCTTGATTATATAACAAAAAAGATAAATGTTGTTAATGTTCATTACCTCCACCATAGGACGGTGGATAGGAGGGTAAAACCTCCATACCACCGTCCAGGCTGAGAAAGCCGCCCGGTAATGTATTGACCTCCTGTTTCGTGACAGGACGTTCGTTGAAGTCATCGTCGCTGCCATATTCGGGTAACTCTATTTTTGGCTGAAAAATCAGAATAACCTGCGTCAACGTGGGTGCTTTTAATCGGTACAGATGGCAGCAGCACATTTAGAGATCAATAAACTCTTGCAAAAGTACGAGTGCATGTAACGCACCTCGACAATATCGATTTCTTTGTAACAGTCAAGCTGAACCTGGGGCTCGATGAGCTGACGAGAGCGAGGTGTGCTGGTGGAACAGGGTGGTGGTACAGAGGGCACTGGACTAGAGTTTTGAGGTGAATCACTTCTTTTACACAGCCTTTTCAGTGGCGGAGGACTCGAAGGTGGTGGAGTCTTACTGCGCTCGTCATCGAAATTCGGTGAGATCAGGCCACGGCCGTTCGATGCGTGAACGTTATTTGTCTTCGAGTGCTGTCAAAAATAATATACCATCTAATTTACGAATCTGATACCTTTAACTAATTGAACCTTATATAACTTGTAAATAGTAGCAAATGTGACCGAAATACTGTGATTCGCGTAAATGATAGAACAGTAATAAATCAAATCTAAAGCTATAATTTGAAATTTAATTTTAAATTATAAACTAATTATAAGAGACCAAAAATATATTAAAATTAGCACAGATATAAGTTCAAAAATTTCTCCGATTTGATTCTTCTTCCACGACCTGGTATAAGCAACTCCGTCCTAGAGATGTATGCAAGATAATTATCTTGATAAGAGTAACTGGAATTATTCTATAAATACACATTAAATAAACGAGCGTGAAGCAATTTCAAAGTAGAATCAGAAATAAAAAAAAAAAAAACCTACCCCTACAGTTAGTGATCATAATGGAAGTAAGAAATAAGAATGTTTTAAATTAAATATAATCATGTCACAATCGTATAGCTATTACAATAGTATACCTTTTCGTTGTGCTGATTGCTTTGAGAATCTGTGAGGCCTCGGATCTGCAGAGATTCGGCGGTACGCAGGAAGGTAGGCAGTTCGGCTTGAGAAATGTTCACTTCCCCAGCATACATGAACTCCAGCAATGATTGCAAGTGTTCAAATTCCACATCCCGCATAAAGATTATCGGATGTTTGCAGGGGTTTGTCTGCAATGTAGTTATAAAACGCGTAAATTAGTCATTCTATCTTCTTGCTTATTAATTTTTTTTGTGACTGACATCATCGATACTGTGAATTAAGTATTAAAGTCGCTATAACGTATCTTTTGGTTTGCTGCATTCGTGTAGTAAGTGCTAAATCTAAATAGCCTGAATCGCAATGTGATTGAGTAACTATTAATGATCATGATATTGCAGGGAAGTTGCACATGGTTACATTTCCTGCAATAACCATGTTTCTTTTTGTCGCAATTACCACTGTGGCATCAATTTGCACAATCATTTTATATAAACTAGATAAAAAACAAAACATAACTCTTGAATCAAATCGTACTTATCGCACTCGTATACAATAACGAGTACTAAACTCAAATATGTCCATGATGTGTTTCTTTTGGTACAGTTTCAAATACAATGGTACTGTATTATATAACGGAGACATGGAATATGAAAATTAAAATGAATCAACAAGGAATAATAACAAGCAATGACATTATCCAATGGTTTTACCAGACGTTTACTCAACAGACGTTATATAACCTTATGGCTATAGCGACCCGTACGCGCATCTAATTTACTAATGTCGAGTAGGAATATTTATAGCATTCGTATCCCACGTACAGGAAAGGTTAACTATAAACTGGAATTAAACCGGCATATTCTCACCTGTGCTCGAGTGCAAAACTTGTTTTATTTACCTTATGGATCGTACTCATCCACTGACTCTGTATGTAGGTCTTACGTTTCTATGTTAATAATTATTTAATTATACTACACTTTGTTACGCTGGTTCTCATCTGTACGAGATGATGCGGTACGGTTCATGGCATGGTTCGTGCAGTAGGTCTGCCAAGTGATTCGAGTTCTTTGTCGACACGACGAAGGTCTTCGAGTAGATGGTATTTGCCTTGTTCAGAGGCTTTGCGACGATAAAGAATGTTTTCCTGTTTAGGGAACACATAAATATACCGGTTTTAATTGTAATTCGTTTAAATACATGTATGGTAACAGCAGATGTTAGTTGGTATTTTATCTAGATCTGTTTAAATTACTGTAAATGTACCATATTCTGTGCAATTTCTGGTAGCGAAGAATGCAGATTCCTGAAAATTGAATTCATGAATTATGTAGTTGGTATGCCCTGTATATATAGTAATGCTTATGGCTAGAGATTCTTAAAATAGTATGATCGTTAAACTTTTGATAATAATATGTAAGGGAAAACTGTTGTCTATGTTGGACAAATATCATTTTACTGTATTAAACACTATCTATTGGATGTACGGTGTAAGATCATGAAAAAGTTAATTAAAGAAGTTGAGGTGACACAGAGGTTAGCCTCGGAAAGTAATTCCGCACTCAACGTTATGAATTTACCTTCATTAAACATATGAAAAGGCATAATCATTGTAAGCACATTCGTAGTCTTGCATACAAAGTAATGACTAAGAGTCACTCATAGATGTGTCTTGGATACATTGTAAACTGCCCAGCTACCTTGCAACTAGGCATGCAACATAGTCACCACAAACAGGGCTCCCTCCGGCAATGGAAAGGTCATAAGATTAAAGACGTCCACATGATTCTACATCTGGCACGACTCGGGACTGTTTCGACAGCTGTATCTATGCAGATTTCAAATAATCTGAACAACGATATATGTTATTCAAATTAAGATTTCCTCGCAAGTCTTTTCCTTTTAAATAAAATATACAAAGAATATAAGACCCTATGACTGAATTCCAGGTTATTTTCCATGCTAAAAAATTCTAAATCTGATTTCAATTCTAAGGTTTGTTTCTTCAACAATAAATATTATATAATTTAATGACGTTATATCAGTGGATGTATCATTCCATCAGCCTTGGGCGATTATAGTCATGAAACTCGATACAACGTAGTCTACATTAGCTTTGAAATTATATAGGCAATACCCTAAAACAAAATGTCTAAATAATGCATACATTAAATACAACGAGAAAAGAAAGATAAATAGAATAAGAAAGTACACGAGGCACAATAAATTCATAACTTTGAGTGCGGATATACTTTCCATGGCTAACCTCTGTGTCACCTCAATTTCTTTAACTTTTTCATGATCTTACATCGTACATCCAATAGATGGTGTTTAATACAGTAAACTGATATTTGTCCAACATAGACAACAGCTTTACCTTACATATTATTATCAAAAGTTTAACGATCATACTATTTTAAGAATCTCTAGCCATAAGCATTACTATATATACAGGGCATACCAACTACATAATTCATGAATTCAATTTTCAGTAATCTTCATTCTTCGCTACCAGAAATTGCACAGAATATGGTACATTTACAGTAATTTAAACAGATCTAGATAAAATACCAACTAACATCTGCTGTTACCATACATGTATTTAAACGAATTACAATTAAAACCGGTATATTTATGTGTTCACTAAACAGGAAAACATTCTTTATCGTCGCAAAGCCTCTGAACAAGGCAAATACCATCTACTCGAAGACCTTCGTCGTGTCGACAAAGAACTCGAATCACCTGGCAGACCTACTGCACGAACCATGCCATGAACCGTATCGCATCATCTCGTACAGATGAGAACCAGCGTAACAAAGTGTAGTATAATTAAATAATTATTGACATAGAAACGAAAGAACTACATGCAGAGTCGGTGGATGAGTACGATCCATAGGGTGAATAAAGCAAGGGAGGATGAGGAGACGCGGGTAGAGGGGGGCAGAGAGGGTGATTCGGATAGGAGACAGAGAGAGATAGAGAATACATAGAGATATATAGCGAGAGAAAGAGAGGGAGGGAAGAGGAGAGAGATAGAGGGAGGTGGGCGGTTTTCTAACCTTGAACAACTCCTTAAAGTAAGGGCTGCAGGCCGAGAGGACGACCTTGTGGGCCTGAAGGCGCCTGCCGTCGCAGGCGAAGGTAACGTCGACGAAATCCTCGTCATCGCGCAGCGCCTCGAATTGACTGGTGATGTTCGCCTGAAAGTTGTTCCACCTTAAGCAGAATTGCTGCTGGCCGCTATCCGTCATTCTCTTCCGCTCTCGGGCGCCGTTATCAACACCTGCGGGCACACATCGGGACACCGATATATCAACTCGACAAAGCCGGACCACCGATCACCGATTCTCAGGCCAGACCCATTCTCCCCCTCATCCGACTGTGGAAAAGTGTAAAATGTAAAAAGTCGGAATCGATGACTGAAGAGGAAACGTACGATATAAATAATGACAATCGATAACCAGGTTGGCAGCCTCAGGGAGGAAAAATTCTCTAGGGCGCGACACCGAGCTGCCGCCTCTTTCCGCTCCCGCGCGGCCGACGCGGCGCGCGCCACTCGACTCGCCCAATCGCGGCCGAAGGCGACACTAATCGCACCAATCGGATCCGCCGATCGCCCGATCCGAGCTTGACCGGACGTCCATCGCCGAGATGCCGGACGAGAGACGAAACCGCTGATTTCGAACGCGTTTCAAGGCACGGGAGTGTTCGTGGCAGCACGGGATGCACTGCCCAGCCGCACGGCCGCCGGCTTTGCAGAACCACGGCTACGTTCACGCGGGTCCGCCCACGAAGGACTTCCCAGAGGGTTACTCATCCGCTACCCCCACTCTACCCGCCGAGAGACCAGGCCGTTGCCTCATGTGTGAGAGCGACAGAGACACCTATACATGAGAGATCGGAGGGTCTCCGAACCGTTCCCGTCCCTCGCTCCCCGCTGGTCCACATGTGCTCATACGAACACGTCGCTCTTGCGCATTTCGCAACTAGCTCTAACACGTTCCGAAACGTTCTCTCTTTCTCGATCACTCTTTACAGCCATACGGCGGGAAAGAAAGAAACAGAGATACGCTAGGGTGATTTGAAAAACATTTTCGAATGCCGTAGCGCTACCAACCTGCGACGCGACGACTGTCGGGGCGATCACCGCGATCTCTAGGTTCCTTTTTATTCACCGACGGGACCATGATATTTTTACGATGCATCATTTCTTTTTTCCGTAATTTCTAACAACGTTTAATTGTTTCAGATCTGGATGAGTGAATTGGGATCGCGATGCTCGGAGCTGCGACGCAGCGAGGGACTCCATTCGGGAATTTAGATGGGACTACTGTGATATGAAGATTCATTTGTGTATGATATATGTGCATGTATATGTCATGCATATTTCAGGAAATTTCGCGAACAAATTTTTGGGTACCATATTGCAAGAGAGGGAGAGAACTCCTCCCTGTCCACCTCCCGTACGACTCGCCTATATCTATCGTCCCTCAGCGGGAAATTCGATTATACGGAACATCAAAACGAGGAAATTCACTTTCCTGGTTACCGAGCGATCGTACTCACACATTTTTTCTCTTTACATTACACTTCACTTTACATTATATACGTAATAGTTACACATGGTTTTTGCAACATATCACCCTTAATTTACTTAACTTGCCTAATGCATACATTACGTAAATGTTTCAAGCACGTTACCAGGCGTTTGACTTATGTATTTAATTCCACGCTCACTTAATAATTTTGTACTAAATTTTGAAATGTATCATTCGAAAATATGTTCATAGAAGTGAAACAAATTTGGCAGTTTTTTGCGAGAGTCGATGTAAAGAAATTCGGGGTTCGAGGGCGCATTTTTGTAAAGAAAGGAAAAAGTGGCCAAACGAAGTTTTTAAAGAATTTAAGATATCCTCGAATGGCCAGAAACGTTTATTTATTTTTTGCACGTTTCCTCAAATAGCAATTCGTGATCTCGTGAATATTCTTCATATCCTCCTTGGGCATTTAAAAATATATGTATTTGTCGTCCTGCAATATTTCTGTCATATCGGATCAGAAATACCTGCGGATGCTGAATACACTTATGTAAGATAGCGACACTTCTCAGGGACACCCGTTGAAAGGTTTAGCGGGTTGAAAATAACTTTTTCGCAATATTTTTGAAACTTTCCGAACAATACGCGAGGGTATCCCCGAGATAAAATCTGCCGAAGGAACGTCGAACGCGTCTGGATGGGATTTTTCTCAAAAAGCGTGGGTGGAATACATTTTGTTCAACCGTGCCAAGATGTAAAATTTCATGAAACCGATCACGAAATTAATCAGAAATGTTTTCCGAGCTAATAAATACATGTATCCGCTTAGCTCATTCCTTGCTGGCCTCCTTATCCTGGAGTTATTCTCATTTCGATGCAGACAACTTCTCATAAGCTCGGAGATAACGCGTTTTAAAATATGCTGACTCCACACCTTACCGCGTTATTAAATCTAATCGGTTCATGGAAAGCCCGTCGTGTATATAGAAAGAATCCAGTTTTAACATTTTATTAAGTAGGCATGATACCACGCAGTTAATTAATTTGAAGATTATAAAAGCAGGTAACAAATGATGAAATAAAAGCGGAGTTTTGGCGTTCACGTGTTCGGCATATGTTCAGGTGCACGGACAATAGATCCGTCTTTGTATCAGACCATTGTCAGTTCTTGCATTGCACCATCCGGTACCATAGTGTGCTATCAACGCGAAGGTCAGTTTAGGCCCGGCTCCGTAACCCGAGTTAATCGAAGTTTAACTGGTTTACATCCGGTTTAAATGTGCCGTAAACCAATTAAACTTCGGTTAACTGTGGAATCGGGCCTTAGTCCAAAATGGCGGACCAATCAATTTCGTACCTCTCATTGCCGAAAATATCCACTTTCGAAGTGACGTGCATTTTCGATGCGAAAGATTTGACCTTTAAACCATTATCGCCGATTACCCTCGTTTGGGAACAAAACATAAGTTACCAGGCATTATGGAGTCCAATTATAATAACTATTATCAGAACTCAACGAGGACTTTAATGAAGGTAAAATGCGTAAAATAGAAAAAAAAAAACTTAATTGGACGCGTTTTATTAAATTATAAATCATTTACCAGCTGTAACTGAAACGTTTATAAACGGCATCAATGTTATCATAGGTAAAAGAAACGGTTTACCCTTTATTGAAAAGGGCCTGCATTAGTGTTAACTTCGTGCATAACACATACTTTCTATTGATTCTTGAATATTCTTGTTTTTTTTCAAAAAAGAAACAAAAATGCGAGAATTTTCAATCGGTCTCATTTAATTTCTGTTAATTTGATATCTCTTAATTTAATGGCGAACAAAATTCAATGCTAAATAAAAAATGAATACAAAAACATAATCAGTGTTAACCATTTTGATAGTTCTATCAAGTTCAAATACTGTCATCTTATAAACAAGCGGGTAAGAAAATGCGAGTGAGGTTTAACGCAGCAGAGAACGAGGTATCATTAAAGATAATCGATTCCTCGTGGTATCTGTTAAAAAAAAAATGAAGATGTAAAAAACAAATACTAAGTTACATCCGATATGTACGACTTCTAGTAAGAAAATTCAAGCGCGCGATCGGTCTCTTTTTGTGAATTACGAATAAGTCACCTATTTTAAGGTGAAGTGAAACACGTCGAGGAACTTGATCAACGTCGATAAAGAAGATTTTTCTAAATACCTACGTTGCCGACATTCGTTTTTATATTGACAGCTGTGTAGAATTATATTGGGTATTGTACCAAATGGCATACTCCACCTGTCGTTTTCGTACAATAATTATAAAGAAATCGAAGTAAAACTCCAGAAATCCTCTGGATTCATGCTTTCTGGGGCCCTAATTGACTGCAGAGGGACCCCCTGCGCCATCTGTGATTTCCAGGTCAATTAAATTTTCACTCCGAGACCTCGTATTACCATCCTTTTAGCATAGAAGCATATACATCACTTTTTTTGCCTTTGTCCCGTTCAAATGCGAGTTTATCGATTAACAGAGTATTCTAAATTGTCGTACAATTTTCCTGACCCTTTCGATTCTCATATCAGAGCCTTCGATAATTGTATGTTGATCGAAATATGAGAGCTCGGCGACATTATGGTTCTGGTCTGGGCTGAGTTAAAAAATCCAAATTTTGAATGTGTCAGGACAATTCTTAGATGATCAGGAGTGACGTGTCAAAGTTTCGGACAGTTTGGTCTAATACCCTTAAAAAAAAGTGTTGTATTCGAATCGACTGATTTGAAGGGGATTTCACTTCACCTTAAATCAAATCGTATCAGAGACTCGTATCATTCATCGCATTGCACGTTATTGCAGCTCACTGTACAACACATCACGCTTTCTTTCATCGCGTTCGACATTCATCTTATCGGAGCCTCAACAGGAGCCAAAGAATTCATAAGTCTCCATAGAAGCCCAGAAGGATACGGTCGTTCGATAAATAGCATGTTAGACAACGGATGGCGGCACTATAATCATCTCTCCATCTCTCTTAATCTTATGGCGATATATAGCGAATTGCATTCTTTCTTTATCTTACCCCCAATACTCGCCTTTCTATATGCGTCTCTTCCTCGCATATGTGAGATATCGTTGGCTAACACATGCGATCTCTCTTTTACCCCCACTTCTAGTTTGTTAGCCAACTTTTAGAGCATCAAGCGCTAACATAGGATCTGGGCTTCTATGAGACTTCTGAATTCTTTGCAGAAGCTTACCCAAGAAACCGTGTCGGACCTCTCGTACCGTCCATCTTCGTTGCACCACTTGGCAGGGTACGCGCGAAGAGGATAAAGAGGTCTCTCGACCCGCGACACGCGGTACCCACGGGACGGCCCATAGTACGGAGGTCCGCCGCGGCAGCGCTCTCGGCGGGTCGCCTCGCACGGCGACGCGAGGAGGCGCAAGAGTACGCGAGAGTGAGGTTAGCTCGGGCGCCATTTTGCCGGCGTCGTCTGCTCTCCCGGGGCGCAGTGGCGCTCTCGGCCGCTGCGGGCGCGTACTTGGCTCGCGGCATCGCTGGGTACCCGTGGCTCGTGCTCTCTGGCAGACGCATGACTCGCTTGGCCGATTATTCGCGAACCCTTGAATCGGCCGTGCCGTGATTCCGCGACTGACGTCGCGCTTCAAGGGCGGAGGGCCGTGGACGCGCGTCGCGCCTCGCATCGGCCGCTCTCGAACGCCCCGATGGCACATCAGTGGTGAAGTGCCCGAGCCAACGGCGGGAGTCAACAAACGTAGTTTTTAACCCCCTGAGCGAGAATGCGCGGCAGGACCGAGCTCTCGGTGAGTAAACGGGGGACGACTCGACGCGAATTACTCGGCCAGCTGCACGAGTCGTCCTTTGCCCAAGGTCGCCTCGCTCGCAGGGACGAGGGGGATCCTCCTCGAGAATCCGCGTCGAGGTAAAATCAATGCGACCGCTGTATCGGTACCGAGACCTCCTCGGTCGCACAGAACGGTTAACCTAATTCCGCCGCGTCTCGCGGTCTAGCCTGTGACCCTTTTCGAGGATGTCAATCGATATGAGAACCTCCGGATCATCCTCGACGGCGCGGGCCGTTCCGTTGGCCTCGACGGCTCTCGAGGCGTCAGCGGAGCTGCACCGACCTCGAGGAGGGCCCTGGAGGCGTCGTCGCTCGTTCGAACCGTTGGAACGATTTTTAGGTTGCGAGAACGAGGGCCTTTTTTACAAATTGGCTACCGATCGGTCGAGTGAATGGGCGCCTCCTGGAAGCGTTGAATGATCTCGGCATTCCTAGGGATTTTCTGTTATATATGGTTATGTATGCTTCAGCCGTGGTGACGAGGTTGTGCAAGAGGAGACACGTGAACGATACAAAAGTGTAAGGTAGTGGCATGATCAGTTGTCGATTGGAAGTATTTTTTTTTTTCAATTGTGGGGGTAGATGGGGAATAGAGGTTTTATTGGGGAGAAGTGGGGAATTGTTTGGCTGTTTGCAATTCATTATTGTTTGGTGCATGCGACGATGACAGCTACGAGTGAACATGGAAGTGAAATAGAGACACGATCTGTGCCAAATAATTCCATTAGGGCCAGTGATGAGTTTGCACCATTTAGAAGAAGTGTATTGCTTGGGAGAATAGATGTATTAATATCCTCCAAGTGGCAATGATAATTTTAATATGGTTTAATAATGTGTCGTTGATGTTATGTGCACGTGTTTATACATGTTGAGCGAAGTAAGAAAGTTTTTGGAGAATCACCGTTAGAAAACAAATGAAGTAATGTCTAGATATCACAGTAATTGATGTTAATTTTTATCCATAAATATAGTCGATTAATTATTTTGTCATCGTTCGTTATGTACGACGACTAGATGCTATGCTAGCGCATCACTGCAGATTTGTATAATCACTGCTTGATCGCACGCATCGCTTTTCTCTCTTAATCGTTTTGTGTCACAATTGTTAATTACTCTCCCTTGGTTCATATATTAAGAGACACTTAATTTGGTCGATTAATAGGAACCTTATGTTGTAACGTTACCGCCGAGACATTTATTCCAGCAAGGTTATTCGACGAACGATGATTTGCTGCGATATTTATCGGTTATCGTCAAATAAAGTTTGATTGCATTTTACATAGAATTGCAAAGTTATATTATTTAATTTACTACAGTTATGGAATTATATCACTTAAATAGCTCGGCAATAATTATTTATTAAATGATAAGATTAGTTTTAAGCTTTCAAAAATTATCTTCACAAAGTGCTTGAAAGAGCGAATCATGTCATGTTTTCCTTTTTGTCATTTTTATCAAATCGATTCATGGAAAGCTAATTTCTCAGCTCTTAGATATTATAAAAATATTTGTCAAATAAATTGCCCTAAATTGATGATAATCATTTTATTTTTCAGTTCGTCTACGCTACCTCTGTTTGGTGATCATTGTGGTTTCCCTCGTGGAAGCCAGGAGTCTGGTAGTACCTAACGGTGAGTGAACTACCGAACCGATGTTACAACTTTTAACATCATTTTTGCTTCTTGGTATTATATAGTACTTTTGATGTTGTTAGTATTATCATGTACAAAGCATGTGAATAAAACTAAGGAATATCGTGGTACTGCAGGATTTTTTCAAAATGCGAGCAGTAAATATATTTATGAAGATGAAATGTGGTTCTCCTTGAATCTTTGAACGATGCAAGGTTGAACCCAGCAAAGAAGGTATGGCTATATTATGAGAAATTCATAATGTCTCATATTACATAATTTATGGGGACCATTTAGTACCATACCTATTAAAAACAATTTGGATACTGTACATTGTATTAACCAAGATTGTTGACTGAAAAGTGTGCAGGGCAATAATGTACCTCTTAGAAAACAATGCATACAGCAGGAGACTCCGTGGAAAAATATGTTTAAACAAAAATTGAGATCGAAGTTGTTTTAAGAGTTGCCTTTTTCAATTCAGAAGCAATTAAGGGGAACGCGAAAACGAAGATATTGCGTTCAAAGAGAAGTAGATATCAAGAATTAGTGCAATCTGTATGAGGATAAAATTCGATTAAAAATTGCTCCAACAAAATATCGGTTTCAGTGTTTTGAATCCTTGTCGAGAGGATCATTTTCTTACGTCTATTCAAAGGACCATTATCGGTATATCCGAAGAAATTTAGCACACTCTAAATAAGTTTATCGTGTACACTGAATCAAACGAAACGTTACTTCAGGGAGGAAGATTTGTCTCGTCAAAGATGATGGGTTTTTGTGAACTTTTTTACGGAACGGACGATCGGATTCATTGAGGTCGACCACGAGCTCCTTGACTATATATTATGGCATTCGTTGGAAAGGACGACGTTGCCAAGGACTCATTCCTTATAAAGAGAAATATATTATGCACCGAGGAAAGTCCACCATTCATTTGGTCAAAATGCCACTTTGATCGTCACGCGTTAAACGCCACGAAAAGATACGAATTTCCTTTTTATGTAGGTTAAATAAAATGAACTAGAAAGCCTGACATATCGTTATAACGATCATCGTTACTTCACGATTAAAAGGTACGTGACACTTATCTCCAAGGGAATCTAAAACCTTAACGTAGGCCATTTGATTTTCCACGATTGACTCGAATTCGAATCGAACGTTTCCACCATTTATATCAAAATCAAATCGCAGGAAAACTCTCCTCTAAACTCCATCAATCGTTACGTCATTCAACATCTCGGGTTCACGTTTCGAGAATAATTCTCCACGGCCTTTCGGAGCAGTATTCACCAACCCTTCATGATCCTTTACTACCCTAAACGCGAGCCACCCTCCACCATCAAAGCGAACCTTAACCCTCTATAACGTCACGTGACTTTTAAGTCATACCCTCGTTTCTCTATATCTTTTGTCTTGTTCGATCGTTTCGATAAAACTCGATGCATCGGGTGCAAAAATAATCGCAGTGATTAACGACCGATTGCGCATAAAAACCGCGATTATATTTTCATCGTTCCAATATCGTTATATGTTCCTCAATGTTATTGTATTCCTTATTGTTCTATCACTCCCTAACATGTACATTGTGAATTAATTGTCAGTTTACGTCGGAAGATGAATGCATTTAGAAAAAAAATGGCCTTGAACCAATGAAATATTCCTTCGAATAGTACCGAAGGATACATATCGTTAATTCAAAGAATAACTATTTCACTCAAATAAATTCCAATTAATTGGATGCAACATTTCTTCGAAATGATAACAATTTATTCCAGTCAAATAATTATTTTTTGACTTAACAAAATATTTTATTGGCGATGTCCAAGCAAATATTTTTTTGGTAGAATTTTTCTTCTCAGGGTGTTTGCTTATTTCACGTTATATCACTTGGACGCGAATAGAAGAAAAAATGGAGCTTTTGCTAAATCCATTCCATTCCCTTCCGTCGGCCCATTTGTTCGTTTGTTTTTGGTCGGGAAACGAGGGAGAAATGGTGCGTACCTTTTTACAAAACGACGGCAGGGGTTTCTCGAGGTCGACTCGGGCCTCCTCGGGTGCTGACGATTCATAGGAAAAGGGAAGAACCTTCGCAAGGGTGGGCGAGGGCGGTCCTCGGTGAGACCCTTCCCGAACGGCTGATCTCGCGGGTCCTCGGCGAAGGATCGAGCGGCGCGCCGTAGCAATCCAGCGGAAGCACCATAGAGCACTGAAAGGCTGCATAACTATTGTATCATATCGGGCAGGCATTACCTTAATCTTGCTAGGAGTCAGGCGGACTTAGCGATGTGCGTACAGCTCGGCGAGAAAGTTTCATCCGAGCCGCGAGCGATAAACTCGACGGTCTTGCTGCCGGTGACCCGCGAAATCATTCCCCGGAGGCCGAGGTCCGAACCCCAAGACCGAAATAGAGGGATGCGAAACCGCGGGTCGCGCTCTATATATGCGTAAGTCTCGATGACCTTACGTCTCGTCGCCGATACGCGACGCAACGCGACCTGCATCGGCCCGACATTGAGCTCGTTTTCTTACGATTACTGGGATTACTCCTGCGGGGGAGGGAAAAATGGAATCCTTGTGACTTCGGGGTTGCCGATAGAGGTTCGGGAGATTTAATAAGTAAAGGATTAGAGGGGGACTTTTTAAGGCGAAGTGAAACCCCCTTCAAATCAGTCGATTCGAATACAACACTTTCTTTTAAGGGTATTAGACCAAACTGTCCGAAACTTTGACACATCACTCCTGATTATCTAAGAGTTGTCCTGACACATTAAAAATTTCGATTTTTGGAAATAATTTTTTAACTTAGCCCAGACCAGAACCAAAATGGCGTCAAGCTCTCATATTTCGATTAACATTCAATTATCGAAGGCTCTGATATGAGAATCGAAAGGGTCAGGACAATTTTACGACAATTTAGAACACTCAGGTAATCGATAAACTTGTATTTGAACGGGATAAAGGCTTAAAAAGTGTTGTATGCGCTTCTATGCTAAAACGATGGGAATACGAGGTCTCGGAGTGAAAATTTAATTGACCTGGAAATCACAGATGGCGCAGGGGGTCCCTCTGCAGTCAATTAGGGCCCCAGAAAGCACGAATTTAGAGGATTTCTGGAGTTTTGCTTCGATTTCTTGATATTTATTGTACAAAAACGACAGATGGAGTGTGCCATTTGGTACAATATCCAATGTAATTCGACACAGCTGTCAATATAAAAACGAACGTCGGCAACGTAGGCATGTAGAAAAATCTTCTTTATCGACGTCGATCAAGTTCCTCGACGTGTTTCACTTCACCTTAACAAATATTTTTCCGTGGTCCGAAATTATGGGATACAAAGTCGCGGGTCGCGATCTATATATGCGTATACGCGACGCAACGCGACCTGCATCGACCCGACATTGAACTCGATTCTTTACGATTACTGGGATTACTCCTGCAGGAGAGTGGAAAATGGAACCCTTGCGACTTCGGAATTGCTGATAGAGGTTGGTGAAGTTTAATAAGTAAAGGGTTAGAGAGGGACTTCTTAACAAATATTTTTCCTAGATCTCTTCAGGCTTGAGGTTCTATCTTAACCCTTACGCGGACATTGGGTCGGTTTGTCCCAGTGTCGTATAAAGAATCTTCACTTTTCATGTGGGTACTTGAGATTTATGATAGAGAGCGACGCTTACAGGGTTTTTTTTTTATGTATGCTTATGATGGGAGGACGTTGAGTCAAAATGGAATTTACGTGGAAGGGTTAAGGTGAATTGAAACCAATATTTTCGGTATCGCCAGATGTTTTCAGATGGCAAGGAACTATCTAAAATTTTTAATTTACCCGTTTATGAACGAAGGAAACCATTTATTGATTAATGAAATGTTTCTTTAATAGAGGTATAAAATTCTGGAATAGCTCACTTTGCAATAGTTAACAATAATTGGTACTTAAATAGAATGTCGAATTATGACAAATCCCAATTTTTGTTAATTCTTTCTTTAGTTTATCTTTTTTGCGGACGATGATTTACGATGTACAGATATGTTTAGTTAAGTTACATTTTCCTTATAGTGAGCCAGAGGATGTAAAATCGTGTGTTTATTGAATTTTATTCAATCTAACACATTGTATTCAGGAACGGTGATTACAATCTGACATCGAAGAGCCCTGTCTGTAATGCATTTAATATAATCTTGAACGGCAGATAGGTTTTGTTGGCCTAGATGTTCTTGTGTCAATGATTCAGAAATGTATTGATTCATAAATGATACCAAATAAGATTTTTACGATTCCAAAATTATGAGTCAGTTCATTCGTAGTTTCCGTCTCGTGATTTCATTCCGAGTGATAATTTGTTCCTTCCGCCAGATTAGTTTTGTATAAGGATAAATAAGTAAATGCCTTTTCATCTAGTAAATATTGAATGTAATGAGATGAAGAATTGCTGGTCAATTAATAATGGTAAATTTTACTGATTAATATTTAGTAATCCAAAAATTCTATAAATGAAATCAAAGATATTCCGACAAAACAGGTGCGTTATAAGAACGGCATAGATATTGAAGTGATTTTTTATTTCTTTTTGTCTGTCCACTGTTGGTGTCGTCGTTGATGTGTAATTAACTATAGCGATATGTCATCTATTATTTAGCTGTAGTTAGTATTGTAGGCGTATTATGCAATCATTTAATAATCACGCAGTTGAATTATTGATCTATTTCGACCTTTGTCGCGACAGTGAAATCCTCATTTCTTAGCTTAATTTTAAAGTAGAATCACGTTAAACTATTTAATAGGTAATTACAAGAAGTTGCAACATATATTTTTATAATTTGTGTTTTTCATTTCGTTAAATAAAATTATTTTAGTGCAGCTCTATTTTAATGAGAAGAATTTACTAATAAAATGAATTAATTATTTAAAAAATAAAAAAAATTTTCTCTGGATTAGATTTAGATGCTACTAAATTAAGTCGAATTAAAGTGGAAATATAAGCGAAAAAAAACCTCGAACATGCTTTTTTAAAAATCAATTAAAAAGAAACGTATTTATTCTATCATCGTTATACTTTAGTAGTGTTCATTGTAAAAATTGCTGATCGACGTTGTCCTCGGTACGCTAATACAATGTACTCGTGACTACATTTACGGTATCCTTTACATATTTTAATACGGTGACTACCTCATGACCTCATTTAGGGTTACACTCGCATTATAGTACAGTCATTCATGAATCAGAGCTTAAGCCTCTAAATAAGGGTCACATGCAGAATACGTACATCAATTTAGCGCTTTGCCGAGCACAACGACATTTTGCCAGGCCACCGTATAATGTCCTGCCTTTAAACCCTCGTAGACATAATATTTCTTTAATGCATAACCATATCAACCCCAATACTTTTTTTAAGTATAAACTGACAATAGGAATATTCATAAATGAATTCGCGCGAGCCCAAAAAATGCTACGTTCATTTATAGTCATACTCGTAGAATTAAACTGGCTTATTACACTTTCGTGAAATTCTCATAATTACGTTCTCGTAAGATCTAACGTCCTTACTTTGGAATTAATGTCCAACTAGAAACTAGGCTGCTTCCGGTACTATTAGCCAATGAATTTAATTAAACCGTAACATTGGCTCGGTGCCAAGATATAATAAGTGGTAAAATTGCGTTTCACAAGAGTTTTTAAACATGCACATTTATGCATTTATGCAAATTTTAACCATGACTCTTATCACCCTTTTTGGTTAAATCATGAAGCTCACAATTGTGTATGTATTAGGTAATATCGTATCAGGAATATATCGAACAATTTTCCTTGAGAGATTGGAATTTAAAGAGCGTAAGTGCCGAGATAGTGACGATAGGTAATCCGGATCGCAAATGTTAGCAAGGCCGGGTCGCTTGTTTAACGTTAAAAAATATTTCGGTTCTCGAGCGGAGTGTACCTCCTAGTATTGTCCCTCGGTATCTCCGTTGATAAGGAAGAGCGGTATTGCTCTCGCTCGACAACCTGCACGGCACACGTATGCCTCGTTTTAATCAGCCGTGCTTGTGCATGAGCTAAATAATGGAAAACTTGGAGTATAATGGGCGTGTTAACCGTGGCAATCGCCAGTAATTACTTGCCACCTCGTAATTCCTCTGTTTATTGCCACTGGTCAAAGGATCTCTCTCGGAAAGTATTTTTTTATTTTTTTTAATTTTTAATACGATGTGCAGCCATTTTTCATCTGAATTGGAAATAAATGATGCGGCGAAAATTCCCACACTTTCGGGATGTGCTGTACGTCATCCTTATCATTGGGAGTTCGTTGATAAGACGGTCCCTCTTCATCTATCTGGTCTGCAGGTGTCGTGCAAGATCCATTTTGACGCATTGACATTGACACCCAGAAGAATTATTGTAGAATTAATTATCGATTTAAATGCGGCTGTAGGCCTAATATATTTATAAGTTTATATTACCTTATTGTTTAAAATTGACTGCTTTGATTGTTACAGGCAATTTTAGCATGAATTAAAGGAAGTGATTTTTTAATTTTAGTATACTTGTATCTCACGTTTTCATTTGACTCTTTACTTTTCTAAAATATGATTGATTCAATCAAATATTTTTCTGATGGTTGGGTTTGCTGAATGTTAAAAATATGTATTTATATCGGACCATTTTTTTTTGCAATTTTTATCCGGTAAAAACTATGACTGATAATGGCATTTTCTGAGACTAGAATTACGAAGTTGAGCTTATGTTATCCTTGAACAGTTAAGGGGGAATTGTTTATGTTAATTTAGTATTTTTTATCGTATTTTTTTTTCTGACAATGCGTGCGCGTATTTGCATGGAAGGTGTTTTACACACTTATAGGGAAGATTGACAAATGTTTGGTGAGCAGATTTGTCTCTTCCGTCCATTTGTTGTGTCATACATTCAGACAAATGCATGTTACATATAATGCATACATTATATCATATGGAATCGATACTTATGAACATATAACAGCTGCGGTGATCTGATCTGTATCCTGGAAAGCTTTGGCATTCACGGTATCGCGATTATGTGTATCAACTGTTTTCGATTATTTACATCCTTGTAATGTCGCCGATGAAGCAATCTCCTTGCAAGTGCCGTTTCTATTTCCGTAATGTGTATTCATTATTCCGTTGGCGATCGTTTCACTGTACCTACTTATTTTCTCGGATAACACATATCGCTCGATTTCTTCTTACCATACATTGTTGGGCTTATATTGAAGTGCATAAACAATCATTTGACTGATTGGGCAGACTTGCGTAATTGTAATTGCGGATATTAAAACGTGCCATATTTTTTTTTTTTTTACTGAGGTACTATTTATATTCTTAATGATTGTTTTTTACCGATGTCGTCATAGATGGATGTATTCTTTTGAAAAATATGGGGGGGGGGAGGGCTGTGACTGGTTTTTGCACTTCAGAAATTTGTGTACTTTATGCAAGGTTTTTAATTTCTGATCCGTTGGATATTTCTCACAACTTCGACCACAATCCACCAACCTTGGACGTTGTTCCGTGCGAAAACACTGTAGTTAGAAACTGTCGGTGCATTATGATTGCGGGTATTCCGAGAAGGTGCGAGAGGTCTCATCACGCGAGTACAGTTGCTACAAAGAGATGCAGAAGTGCAGGTGCATGCAATGAAAGAAACCCATTTTTTCGGTGTCCTTTGAACCTTCGCGGACTAAACACGTAGATGTTTAATAAAGATGTCGGATTTAATTCATTCGGACACGCGTGGCAGGTTTTATCATCTTGGTTCTCAAAATGCTGATTACGAGTTAGGGAAATCATGTCTTTGCCAAATGTACATCAACTGAGCAATCGATTTCAGTCCATACCGAAGATTCTCCAGGTTCAGAAATTTAAGGATGAAAATACTAAAATATCACCTCGAACCGTCTCAATTAATCGATTACTCGCTGTAGGCAAGTACGTCGCCATCTCGGAAAATATTCAAGGGTGTTTCGCGGATCTAACCTAAAGAGAGATTTCCTTAAGGTTTCCGACACTTTCTTGCATCGATCTTGAAATACTACGAGAAATTAACGTTTCACCTGATATAAGATAACACATTCAAGTTATATTTATTAATTTATTCATCGTCGATGTCGAATATATCGCTTTCTCGGTGTACGTTTGAGGGTACTCACGAGTCTAATCTAAAAGAATTAAGGTTTTGTTGCAATTTTCTCTATTACATTTGAAAACTTGGGAGAAATTAACACTTTACTTGATAAAACGTTACATTTAAATCATATTGATTAATTCAGGAACGACCAACCAACCATAGTTGGGTAGGTATAACACGTTATGTAATATACGAGGTTTCTACGTGTATACTACAACGTATAATACGTCTCTAGTTTTCCACGCGAGCGCAAAACATGTTACGCCCTTCTATTTCTAAATAGAAAATAAAAAATCCAATTAGAATTTTGATAATAAACAGGGTTAAGTCGAAAGAATTTTAAACTCAAGTGCCAAATTATTCCTCGCCCATTTTTCTGCGCTAAAAGAACTTATTAACCTCAGCGTAAAATTCTACACAATTTTGAATACATGCGGCAAATTAATTAATTGTTTCTTAAAATATTTCCGTAGTTAGATATGTGCTGAAAGATGTTTATAACCTAGCGGATGCTTATGTCATCCATCTACGGCATTCTTCATATTGGAAATGTAATTTACTGATTTTCTACGATTTTCTACGGTAAACTACTTGGTTTACGTAATGTACGTCAAAAACCTCGAAAAGTGCGAAATTACCCAACCCTGTGACCAACTTTGAATGCATATAGCACTCTCGGTGAACGGTCGAGGGCTTCTCTCGGATGTAATTGAAAAAAAAAATGGATTCCCGTTACCTCCTCGTGATCGCGATGTGTGAAGCCGCGGGTGTCGATGTAGATAACGCAAACTCGGTCCTGACTACGTGACAGGAGCCACGAGTTGCACAGGAACTTGAACGAGAGAAGGCGAGGTCGTCAAGGGTCCTCCCACCTGAGAGAGATCGTTTGGCCAGTCTGTAAACCCACGACTGGCCGTTTAACTTGCCAGATCTGTGCTCCTCTCTTATCAGTTACCACCTTTACTCTGTACGAAGCCTCGCGACGATTAATTGCGAATTTTGCAAAATCGTTGAAGTCGCTTCTTTCCTTTTTCCCGATTTTTTTGTTCTTCTTTTTTCTCTTTTAAATCATTCAGCTTGTAGGGAAATCGTGCACGTGGGAAGTGAGATTTCGGAGAAGTGAAATTGTAATTTGAGCCGAAAGCGTGGAGAATTAATGGTGCTTATCAGACCTGCAGTGAGTTTGATATTGCGATCCCGGTGCTCACCGCTAGATGGAGTGGCGCTACTGATAACGCGGTGATAACGAAACCTATTCTGCATATATTCGGAAGTGCTGCAGAGTTATACCTACTGATTTTCTTCGACATAGTGGTAGTAATCTTACGATTCGGATACATTTATTTTAAACGGTTATTGGGATCGCTGATTTTTGGGAAACTGTAGACTTAGTATTTTCAGTCAGAATTGGATTTCTGACGGTTGGGTGCGAGTGGGTTGGAAAAACTGGAAATGCTCGGAAATGTGCGAGGAACTTTTGTTCAGTTGTGCGTAAAATTTGATGTAAGGAACGGGTGGGACCGTGTGCTTAATAAACAGTGACGGAACGTCAAAAACGAAATTAGCGGAGAAGAAGAAAGTGCCCCGAAAGCGAAGGATTTATATTTTTTTTTATCATTACAAGAAGGTTTTACAGCGAGACAAGATTTACTCGACTTTTTAACTGCGAAGAAAAACTTCAAAGAGTGGAAGAAGATTGATTTGTCAAGGTGGAAAAACGAAAACTGGAAAAATGATGCTCCGAATGCGCCTTGGATTTCAACCTACGCGATTCTTCCGCTTCGATTATGGGCAAAAGGTATTTTCTTATCAGTCTATATTCACGCTTTTTGCTGTACCGAGTCGAAACATTAAGAGAAAAATTGCTTGCCTCGTATTCTTTTTTACTATTTACTAAAATTCAACAACGGAAGTACGAAATAATTGGCGATGACAGGGTAGGAAAAATTTGCGAACGTAGCTGAGAATTTTTTAATTATATTTATGGAATCGATCCACTAGGTTTTGAAAATGAAAAAAAATTATTTAAGTAATTGCCGCATTGAGTTTAACCAAAATTTAGAGAAGTGACATCAGAGATTTAACATCGAGCAGTTTATTCTCACGCTTGGAATATTTTTATTAGAAAAATGTATTAATGTTTAAAAATTATGCTCGATCAAGAAAGTGACGAAACACCGTACTTACATTATTTCCGTAGAAACGAGCAATGACGATCCAAGGATATCAGTCTGATCTGTAATCTTCCATGTAGAAAGTAACGATATGAAATTGCCCACATGCGCGAGGATTCCCTGATATCGAATATTTTTTCTCTCACTTCCTGTCGATGCGATCGATTATTTGGCGATAAAAAAAGTGATTACGAAATATATAAATGTATCGAAAATAATGAAGTTGGCTCGTTGCGCGGAAATGAGTGGATCGTACTCCTTGCGGTGCATAAAATGCAAATGCAAGCATAATCATTTTTCTCGTACTGGTTGCACCAAGTAAATGACTCGGTTGATATGCAGGTTCAGTATCCCCGTGATTAATAAATTCGGTGAACCGTTCATTGCATGCTCGTTATAATGTCGATACCTATTTTGAAAACAATGCAGTAATCATTGATCGTGGTGTTGCAACGTGTTGTGTCTGCATTAATATTGCTGATTTCTTTTTCCATGCCGATTGACTGACGCGTAGTCAGTGTATATATATTACAATCCGTGATTTACTATATAATTAGTGAAGAATCGCTTATAAAAGCGACGCGAAAGTTCTGCTTTACCGATTGATTTGCGCGAAAGATGCAGATGGTAATTACTTTTCAGAATCGTCGAAACTTTTACAGATTTTTTTATATATGTAGAATTTTAGGCTTTTCAATGTTTCAGATATTTTCCAATTTAAAGTTTGTAGTATTTCAAAAGTAATTCCTTCAGTTCATCCATGAACCATTACTTGGTTCCAGTCTGAGCTAAATGTTGAATCGGAAATGCTTTCAGCTTCAACATTTTTCATTTTCTTTAAACTTGGAGATGCACTCTGATATTTTTAGTTAACAATTGGGACAATTGTTTAAGTTAATGATGCATTCCTAGTGTTTAGATTTCGAAAACGATATATTAAAAAAAATTCAGTACAGAACATCCTCATTGTAAATTCTGAACTTTTTATGAAGTGTGTTTCGCAACTCATTATTCTAGCTTAGTACGGAAACTTGCTCTCAACTTTGTCCCCTGACTACTAAAACCACAGTTGACCCGCGTTAATCGAAGAAAATAGCATTTAGCTGAATGAAATTCGTTTAACAAATTTTTCTTCCTCCTACTTGCTACTTGAAAAAACACAGTGGCATCGAAATCCCCATAATGCATTAACATTTCATAGACATTTATCCAAAGATCGTTTTCCCAGTCAGGAAATGACCCTCTCGAGCCATAATGAGTGTTTCAAAATTTCACTCAAATCGCTACGCAAACCTCGAAATGTCTCGAGAAACTGCAATGTCGATAATACCACCAGCAAAAAATCGATGTATATAAAGCTGGAGTTGCCACTTTAACACAATTCAATAAAATTTGTTGCAAAATGTATTGCTATTTTATTGCACAAGAAAAAAATTTTTTGCACTTATACTTTTCCGAAAAATGGTGGCGATGTCAGCTTTATATAAAGCTAGCACTGCCACAATACAAAAAAAATTATTAAGTAAAAATTCATCGATGAATTATATTCCAGAATTTATTGTTAATTAATTGCTGGCACAAAAACCAAATTTCAATTTTTTTTGCTCACCCCTAAAGGAGTGAATCGCCACCCCTAGTGCTGATCGCAGTACAGAAACATGAAAAACAGAATCGCAGAATCGAACTGTTTCTTCACGTGGGAATCAATTGCTAATTAATTGCCCCGAGAAGAACCCAATTTCGAATTTTTGCACAACTTCTAAAGTGGGAGGCCAACCCCTCTTATGTCGCCCAGCACGGCCATGTAAAAAATGGGAGAATCGAACTATTTAGCTTTATATACATGAAAAATCGCCTCTTGGTTTCCTTAAGGGGTTACACCACTTTGACGCACCCAAAAATTACGGTTTTTCAAGAATTTTTTTTAAGAGTTAAAACGTTTTTATCCAAATTAAAGTACAGTAAGGTATTATGCTCCTATTAAACTCGCTCACTGCGAAAATCGGTGATCGTGCGGTGGGCAGGTGTATAGGTGTAAACGCGTTTTTCTTAAAACTGCGTTTTAAAAATCGGTGGGCACTCTAGCTCCGCCAATTTTCAATCAATCGTCTTGATTATTTTTTAATTTTAGTCGTGATATGTTTATCTAGCGAAATACGTATGGTTTTTTCAATGTATTGTTATTCGCATTTTTTATGCAACATTAATTAACGAAATTTAGGGCAAAATACGTATCTTTCCTTTCAAATCGATGCCATTTTGTGAAAAATGCATATTTTTGAAATCGGCTACGTATTTCGCTAGCTTTTGGGCTACAGAAACTAATTCTTTTTCGTTTATTGTTCTAACTTAAACCTGGACTGAGTTATCGTTCCTACCGCACGATCATCGATTTTCGCAGCGCTCCGGTAAATCGCCTTTCAAACCGCCATTTTCGTAAATAAAAAAAAATACAAAAAAGCATTTTTTTTAACGGTAGTATAATACCTTACTGTACTTTAATTTGGATAATAACGTTTTAATTCTTAACAAAAAATTCTTGAAAAACCGTAATTTTTGGGTGGGTCAAAGTGGTGTAGCCCCTTAATCCGAGTAAGTTTGAGATCGCCGTTACCGATCGAGAGAGCTTTCCCCTATGGCAATTTTGGAGATCTCGTTCTCCAGTCGAAAGCCGTATCCGATTTCTCGAAAAGCAGAATTTGGGAAGGAGTAGGAGGTGTCCCCCCTTTAGTCCAACAGTCACTGCCCTGAAATAAACCTTCCCCTAATCCGAAAAGGGAGCAACACGACCCATCGAGCAGTGGCGCCATCATGCTAAATGCGACGTCCTCCGAACCAAAGTCACGTGACCGATGTCTCATCGCGCATTTTCTGAAGATGCACGTGCATCTTGCATTCCAGAGAGCACGCACTATATCCAGACCCGGTCGGTATCTACTGGTTAGCTCGGCCAGTTGACTCCGAAACCGGAAACCACGAGGTCTTTCTCGGCGAGACGGTATGTTTTCCTTCGATTTCGTCATCAATTTCGACAGATCGAATTTTTGTGTTTCATTCTTTTAGGTAAATATATTGTATCAGGTTGAGGGATGAGTTCCCGCCGTTTTAATCACGTTATGTTACGTCAAAAACAGCGGGAATTTATTCTTCAGCCTAACACGTTTATCACTTGAAATCGTATGTTCCTGTAGAAATGGGAATTTAATACCAGTTTTATTAACGCTGCATCAGACGTTACTAGGTTTCTTTTTTTTTTCTTTTCCTTTTTTTTTTTCTTTTATAATTTGCTGTGCATAAGTAATAGACCTAGAGCCTCGCGACAAATTATATTTCTTACCCGAATAGTTGGAAGTCTGAACGTCTTTTTATGGCAATAATTAGATTTAACTTTGTAAAGTTCGACGAATCATTAACGACTCTATATTATGGGTCCATTGACGTCGTGGACGTGTAGCAGGGGTAACAAAACGCTGTCAAATAAAACAGAGGGTATTGTATTTGATTAGGGTGCTCCGGGTGCAATATACGGAAATTTTAAATGTCCAAGGTGCAGTCGGAGTCTCGAGGTCGGTTCCTACCTTACGGGAACGAATTAAAACGGTCTGCATTTAGGTATTGTGCGAAATCCTACAGCCCAATGGCACCGGCCAGGAATTATGGGGTCGGGGATTAACCTCCTGACACGACTTCAAAGACTCCTAGGTAAATTAGGGATCCAGGTAGCCAGTAATCCTGGATCGAATGCTCTGGAGTGTACGAACGCACCGGGAGACGGAAAGGACACTCGGGGGGTCGCAAATTTTGCTACAGTTTATACCACCTTGCTCTGCAGGTGGAAACGTCGAAATTTTATTATTCATAAAACAATTTTGTTTATTTCTACGATGCCAGTTGAAGAGAAGGAAATGCACAAATTGTATCGGTTTATAAGTTGTACGTAAAAGTACATATCCAATGTGTATATGTGCAAATCGTATACAGTAGACTCCCGTGTAACGCGGTTAATCCGTTACGTAGTATAGGAATTTGGGGGTCGCAAATTTTGCTACAGTTTATGCCACCTCGCTCTACAGGTGGAAACGTCGGAATTTTCCATAAAACAATTTTGTTTATTTCTACGATGCCAGTTGAAGAGAAGGAAATGCACAAATTGTATCGTCAGTTTAATAGTTGTTCGTAAAAATACATATCCAATGTGTATATGTGCAAATCGTATACAGTAGACTCCCGTGTAACGCGGTTAATTCGTTACGTAGTATAGGAATTTGGGGTTCGCAAATTTTGCTACAGTTTATACCACCTCGCTCTGCAGGTGGAAACGTCAAAATTTTCCATAAAACAATTTTGTTTATTTCTACGATGCCAGTTGAAAAGAAGGAAATGCACAAATTGTATCGTCGGTTTATAAGTTGTTCGTAAAAGTACATATCCAATGTGTATATTCGCAAATCGTATACAGTGGACTCCCATGTAACGCGGTTAATCTGTTACGTAGTATATGAATTCGCGTTATAGGAAATCGTTCCGCACGAGAATTTTTCTCGTGTAACGCGCATTATGTGTTTTGTCATTTGGCGCGTTGGACGAAGAGTTGCGTTATGTGATAACCGCAGTCGCAATATCTTTGGCGCGTTATAGGAATTCGCGTTGGAAGAACTCGCGTTATACGGGACTCTACTGTATTTTGTAATGGATTTCTGATTCACGTCAAGATTTGATTGCGTGAAAACTCGCAAATTATGTAACTTCACCGATAAACTACTAATAATCATGATACAATTTTCCCAACGAATGTTTAACAGTAATTATGTATTTTCATGAATAAGCCTTTCGTGGTAATCGTGTAATTTTAGCGATAAGTATTGAGTTACGCCGTTTAAAATCGTCGGCAAGGCAATTCATTGGAGCCTTTTAAAACCTGTAACCATTTCCTAGGACCGACCTGCCAGTTTTCCCCTCCAAAATGCGGAAAATTAACGTCAAGGACTGTACGCAACTCCCGGGAAGTGTCCTGCTGCGTTCTCCCCTCTTTGGGCTTTGAGTCAACCCCGGGCAACGTTGCCGATGACCTTTCGGCAGAGGTACTCGTTCGTTCCCGAAATTCTACCTAGCTGTCAAATTGCCGTGTAATACCCTTTTGAGGGAGGAAAAAAAGGTATTGCGAGCCTAGCCGATTACCACGTGGTAATGCCTAACGGGGGTTGCCTCGAAATCCTCAGTCGAACGGCGATGCTTGACAGAGGGAGTTGGGGCAGGTCAAGGCTAGTCGTAGTCTGACCTTCGAGTTGAGCAAACAAGTGTCAAATGTAAACGCGAGAAAGACATGACCTCGGTGATTTTCGTCTCGTTCTTGCGCGTACGTGAGGTTCTTGCGATTCGTCAGCGTCTTTTTAGCCGTTTTTCGCGGGTGTGAGAAAAAAAGGTTCTTCCGTGTGCGATAAAGGGTGGCCAGGTGGCGGTGACTTTCTTTTTCTCGAGTTCAGAATTTCCTTCTCAAAATGTCGAATTCTCAGACGGAATGGGCGCAGTGCTCTGAAAGGTGCTTTTTGGAAGATGAGATGCCCAGTCTTCAGATTTGGGATGTCGATATACCGTCTTGGGTAAGCTTTTCGTCGCGTCGTTGAATTAATGGTTTTTAGGGTTATTTATGAATTTTTTTTCCCTTTTCTTTAGTTTCGTCGTTTTCATACCTGTTGGGTCGTTAATGCGATTTCGTAAACTGTCGTCGATATGGGATAAATTAACCGGCGCGAGTGCTGAACGTGGAAGCCAAACAAAATAGATCGTACTTGTTACGTCATTGCTTGTATTATTAGCGTTGGCATTTCAACAAGTCTTTTCTACGGTCAATTACGATAAAGAGTGCCGCTGTCGTTAATCCTGATTCTTTAAACCAATTGGAATTAATCGATCAAGTTTGCTCCTTGCGCAGGCATGACCTAAGTTCACTGTAAATCCAGATTCTAAGTATAGAAAGAATAGGCGCAATTATTCTTCATCCGAAAAATGATAAAGAAATGTTAGTGGAATGTTAACGATAGGTACATTCATCGGGCAGATTTTTTAATTCATGGACGGGTTCTAGTTGCTAATGTAATTAACATTTTACCGACCGGCGGATTTGGATATAAATGGCGATCACGGGTATCGCAAAACCGAATAATAGGTTTCCTGTAGGTGAAGTGTTAAGTAATGAAATTATTAAATAAGTAATTGGTTAAAGGCGGTAAGGTGATCTCAATTGCTGCCATGGCATTGAAATTTCACACGTTGTACAGGATANGTTGAAATAAATAATAAAGTAACGAAATAAATATTGATTCTAAGGTGAAGCGATGCTACTAATTGCCTCAGCGACCAAGCTGGGCAAGGTGGAGAATGTGATTTTACCGTTTAAACGAAATAAATATTGGTTTCAAGAAGGTGAGGCGATTACGCTCATCGCCACAGGGTTTAAGTTGGTCAGAGTGGAGGATGTGATTTTACCGTTTAATTGAAGTAAATAACAAAGTAACGAAATAAATGTTAGTTTCAAGGTGAGGCGATTGCGCTCGTCACCACAGGGTCCAAGTTGACCAAAGTGGAGAATGTGACATTATCGTTTCGGTGAAATAAATAATAAAGTAACGAAATAAATGTTGGTTTCAAGGTGAGGCGATTGCGCTCATCGCCACAGGGTCCAAGTTGACAAAGTGGAGAATGTGACTTTATCCTTTCGTTGAAATAAATAATAAAGTAACGAAATAAATGTTGGTTTCAAGGTGAGGCGATTGCGCTCGTCACCACAGGGTCCAGGTTGACCAAAGTGGAGAATGTGACTTTATCGTTTCGTTGAATTAAATAATAAAGTAACGAAATAAATGTTGGTTTCAAGGTGAGGCGATCCCGCTCATCGCCACAGTGTCCAAGTTGACCAAAGTGGAGAATGTGACTTTATCGTTTCTTTGAAATAAATAATAAGGTAACGAAATATATGTCGGTTTCAGGAAGGTGAGGCGATCCCGCTCATCGCCACAGCGTCCAAGCTGGCCGCCGTGGAGGATGTGGGTCCAAAGCGGCCCGAAGGCCCGACCACCGCCACCTCCATAAAGGTGTCCTCCACAACGAGGGCCACTCTGCAATCCTTACGGTCGCCTCGAAGCAGGCTAGCCACCTCCGCTAGCACCCGTGACGCCGAGACCATCACCGGTAAGTCGTATTTCATCTCTATACCTCGACAGGTATTTTAAATAACTTACTAATTGGCTGCTTGAAATAGTTACTTTGCGTGCAAACTTGACTTTGTAATTTTTTTTTTTTTTCATTTAGAAATAAGCGCATACTAACATTTGATGGAAACTTCACTCGATGACGAGGGTTCCCAAAATGTCAGATAATATATCGAGTTGGGTAAATTGGTGCTAAAAAAAAGGTGTTCTTATACTTTTCTAGGATATGTTCTTAGAACCCGATATTTGGTTAATTTTTTTTCGAGATTCTGAGTAATTAATACTGGGATTTAAAATTTTTCTCTAAGTAATTGTTGATTCGATTTTTTTATCTTAATGATTTAATGTATGTCGTATTTACCGCGGAATTTACTGAGTAGATTCTTTAGAAATTATAGAGGCAGGCAGAAGAGGATACTTGAGAGTCACGGTAGAAATATCTTTGCATGCAACAGAGTTGAGCGCAATTAGCATATTCATTCCAGTCGTGTATAAAAGATATTTACCTCGCTAGTGTCGTCTTTGCATGCCTATAAAATAAGCATAGTGTGCTCGTCGACAGCTGCGTGTCATTATTTCGTAACGAGGTGGGATCGGATGTCCAGTTTAATGTCACACTAATTGCAGTGATATTGAACTAAGATCATCGATTTTGCATATCGCTATATAAAGCGTTGCACTTAAATGCGCTCATTTAAGCAATTTAGTTGATTTTTTGGTCGAACATTTTAGCCGGTAAAGGCGTACCTTTGCTAGCCATCGAACATTATTCCATCAAAGCACTTAATTAGTTTATAAAGGGTTTCGCGGAAGTAGACAAACGTGTCAAGAGTAAAAATCGATCAACTTTTTGCAAACGACACGTGAAACGAGTTGCCTTGATCAAGTCTCCCTCTCTAAAACTATATTAATACATTTTAACGTTAAAATTCGATACAAGTAGGTTTTAAAAAACTGGATTCTTATGTCATTTAAAAATCGATGTTCGTAGACAATTTGCAATGTAACATTTCAGAGTTTCTCTCTTTTTTACGACTAACGACAACTTACAAAATTACTAATTCCCTTCCTTTTCGGTACTTTTCGTACGTCGGCACTCTTATTTCAGTTCTAACTTGTCAGCTTAAAATTAGAATGCCAGATTATCATTTTTTATACGTGTCCACGTACCTGAAATATCTACGGTCTCTTATCACACCTTCACTCGCGTTTTCTTTGCAGCCTTCCTTTCAGTTTTTCTATGGGATGAAGCTTTGAGTAATCTCTAAAAATCTCATGTTAGTAACTTTCACACGTAGCGACACCAATTTAATTTTGCTGCACAGTCGAGTACCGGTACACACGAAAAAGTACCGAGAATGATCGCGGAGTGCACCGTCCGTGTACCAGGAGTAACACCTCGACAAGTGGCTATGGCAATACGACGGCCCTCGGTATTTAACGCGAAACACCGACGCTCTTGGCAAAAACGGCGAAAAATGCAAAGTCCTATGCGGTTTTACGCGTGCTACACGTATCGGGATGCACCTGCACAGGTAACGACTGGCGAGGAGGATTTTAACGTAATGCCGTACCGTGTCGCCGACGTAAACGGATTCAAAGGTGCGAATTTATAAGGTACACTAAATTACATTGAGCCGGGGTTATTAATTACGAGGGGCACCAAATGATGCAATTATTGACCCGGGAGGGAAACTCGGCAGAAACGTTTCGAATGATTTTAGTCAACGTGGAGAATTTACTTTATCTTTGATTTTAATTTCTCAAGGCTCCCGGAAATGAAGGGAAGGCTAATTGAATTTATACGTCCAGTTAATTCGGGTGTGCTTATTCTTGCGGTTGGATGTTAAGGTTTATTAATATTAATCCGGGGTAAGGTTTTTGTAATTGCTGTTTTAAAGTCGGGGCAATTTGGATTTAATTGACGTTTAATGAAACGCGAAGAATTTCTTAGATAATTGTAGTTCAAGGTCTCGTGCATTGCGATGCGATCACTTGCTTTTGGAGTATGCGTTTCTTACCTTGCTTCTTTCGCGACTGGTTTCAGGGTCTTGTCAGTAGTTCAAAAGCACCGATTCGACTGATTCACTGATCGATCGGACTCGGTGATCGAATCAATGGCTTACGTATAACAACGCCCATCGATGATTGTTGACTTACGGCCAGTGACTATTCACCGATTCCTAATTCCATTGATGGGAGACGATCCACGTGTCGATTAATTTTGAAAATTAATCCGTTTACGTAGAACACTGTAACAATTAACGGGGAATCTGTTTAGGATACGAACGACAAAACTCTACTCGACACTTAATACCGAAAGGCGACAGATGTCAGCTGTTGCATTCGTTAACTCCAGCCACGTGATCTACCACTTTGCGAACGACAATTGTTGCGACTCCTTAAAAAAAATTCCGAAAAACCGTCCAGCCACTATAAATGTTAAATTGTCTTTCGGTAAAACGGAGTTTTAGCACGCAGCTTGAGACCCCACTTTTCTGTTGCTGGTCCAGGGTCGGTCAGAGTATTTTTGTACAGTCCAGCTTTCGGTAGTCCATAATTTGGACGATGAAGTACGATCCACCAAATTCCGTAGAAGTTCACCAAATTTTCCACCATCAAATAGAAGCCGAAGTACGGCCGAAGCTTATGAAATATTCCGTCCCACCATTCACGGTTACATTCACAGTTTGGGGTTGAAATCTCAATTCGGAACCCCTTCGTTCGCAGGGCGAAAGCCCGCGCGAACTTCCGGCACTATCGAAGACGCAGTGCCTCAATCCTGGAGCATTGAAATGTATTATATTATTTATGAAAGATGGACTTCCGGCCTACAATCGACTCGGCGAGAAACTGTCCCTGGTGCTCGCAGGATCGCGAGTTTTATGAAGGACTCGGCTCCGGGGCTCAGCTGGTCGGAAGACTTATGGTGTTCCCCATTGGTCCGAGCCAAATGATGATTACTCCGGAGCGGTGGATAATGCACCAGGGCTGATTCTCATCATCGTAGCGATGGCCATCATCATTATCGTCATCATCATCATCATCATCATCATCTGGCCAGTAAGACACATTAACTGCCTGTGCGCTCGTAATCATCATTATCCCCGTCATCATCTTCATCGTCGTCGTCACCGTCGCCTTTATTTTTCGAGTTCTTTTTGCGAGGCGTTCCTGGCAGCATAATGGAACATTGTTATTCCTAGGAAACCACGTGTGCTCCGTCCGGTGTTAGGTGGCTAACTGCATCATGGAGGCTGCTATTTTATATGTCAGTGGTTTTCTGCCTTCGGATTGTCATCAGTCCGCGATCGGTCGGTCTTTGACACGTTAGAATGTTCAGGAACTAGAGGGAATCCTGTCTACTTTGTTGCAGAATTTTTCTGCGATTTACAAATCGATTTATAACGACGAGTTCAGGTTATTTTGTAGGCGGAAATGACTTCTCTCGGTGGTGCCTTAAATCAGGTCACTTTTTCGATTTTGGAACAGTGGTATACTTTTTTATGGTGGATCATTTCCTTGGTTGGATTCTTCTTGAAACCTTCTTGGGATACTTTTTCCGTGGGTTTGGGATATTTACAATTTTTTTTTATTGGTAATGTATGCCTAGTAGACATTTTGACTTTCATGATTCTGAGGGGAAATTGAAGCTGTACTTAAACGGTAAATGGAAGATGTGTCGGCAATTACGATTAATTACCTGGGCTATATGTTATTCTCAGTTTAGTTGGAATAGGTGGCTTGCGGATCGAAAATGGAAATTTGTGTGGCGGAATGCGGTTTGAGAACACGAGGATCGGCACATGTTTCCTGCAGTTGGTTACACAGTTGCAGTGCGAATACGTCATAGCAATTGCTTTTTCAGTCGTTCAACTGCGACCCGCGTTTACGCAATTCCCCCTCGTAAACGTTGATGGTGCTACGAGCTTGTCGCCATTTAATTTTCTTCTTGAATGCCCGCAAACTTCGCTTCCGAAGATGGCAGACAACGGAGTCATTTTCCTCCATCATTCTTCGCATAAATGCGCCGGTCCCTGACGACTGCGTTAAAAAATGCAAACGGAAACAGACGTATCCATTGTTCTTTATACATTCAAAAAATATTTCCTATTCGTGACTTCTTATAGATTGGAAAACGTTCAAATTTGTATAATGACAAGTTTCCAAAAAATTCCTGTCGAACGGATCGGAATATTACGGAAAATCGTGTGGGCAAATGTCGAATAGAAGAATTACTGCACCATGGAATCTGGAATGTATGATCATGATATTAAACCGTAAGTTTCATATGATTTGCTTCGGTTCAGCCCTAGAGCGCAGCAAATGTTTGCCGGAGTGAATCGATATAGGCGTCTCGAAAAAGAGATGAAACAAAAGGAGGAAGAAAATCTTTATCCATTTGAATCGGACGGTAAATAAATAAATCTCAAAAATAAATTACAACAAAAGTATCTAAACCGTAAAAAATGTTGCAAAAGTATTTATCGCAGCAATTCGTTGATATTCTAATTAGTCGTTGAGATAGTTCACTTTAAACATTTTTTTCTCCATTTCTGCATTTGCAAAGGGGAATCATAAAGAAATCACATTGATATTAAATATCTTTTCTTTTAGGACAAGTATTAAATTGAGTTTGACTATGTACCGATGTCCTAGTCGATGTAAAAATGTGTTTTACATTTTCTTAATCTTTGTATCATTGCTGGTGGAGCATTTTCGGCTAGTATCGATGTATATAAAGCTGGAATTGCCAGTTTAGCACAATTCAATAAAATTTGTTGCAAAATAGATTGCTAATTCATTGCTATTTTATTGCACAAGAAAACAATTTTTTGCTCCTATACTTTTCCGAAAAATGGTGGCAATGTCAGCTTTATATAAAGCTAGTACTGCCACAAAAAAAACAATTATTAAGTAAATGTTCATCGATGAATTATATACCAGAATTTATTGCTAATTAATTCCTCGCAGAAAAAC